CGGGTGCTGTTGTAAAAGGGGCATTACCGCGCTCCGGCAGCGGGCCGGACGGCACCTCCCCCGGGCTCGGGGCCTCGGTGAGACGCAGCTTGGACAGGATCTGGCCGCGGATGGCCTCAATGCGCTTTCGCTTCACCATCTCCATGTCGATGGTCTTGCAGGTGGACAGTCCGGCGGCCGGCCGGCCAGGCGTCAGCACTAGTAGCCACAGCAGCGGCAGCAGCAGCGGCAGCAGCCGCAGCCCGGAGGGCGGCATGGGGGAGGCTGCGCCCCCCGGCACTGCGGAGAGCGCGGGCCGGGCTGCTGTGGGGAAAGGGAGGCTCCGCTCCCGCTGGGGCTGGGGGTGGGGGTCTCCCGACGAAAGGTAGGAGAGTCAGAGGGTGAAGGGGGGGCGGGGAGGGGCAGAGGTGAGGTCCCAGGGAGCAGGGAGTCCTGGTGAGCGGCTGCTGGTTGTCCTACGGAAAAACCCGAGATGGAGCGATCTCGTACCAGAGGTGGGTGGTCTTGAACCGGGGAGCGGAGACAGGTCAGAGGTTCTGCCTCGATCCCGGAGGACAAGGGCTCTTGGACGTGGGGGCTCGGGAGAGAGGCTGGGGGTGGGGAGCGTGCAGGGGGTGCGCCCAAGGTCTTGGGTCAAGTCTTCGCGGTGGTCGGGTTAGCGTTTCCTGAGGGCTGGTCCGGAGTGGGGTGCCTGAGGGACGCCGGGGGCGGGGGGGGCAGGGACGGAGCAAGCGTCCGAGGCAGCGAGGCGATCTGGGATCCCCGAGTCCTGTCTCCTCGCTGGGCAGCGTCGCGCCAAGCGGTCCCCGCGCCTGCGGCTCCCAGCGGCAGCGGAAAAGTCTCAAAACTTTTTTCCTCTTCTACCAGCTCGTCCCTCCTCCCGCTCCTCCTCCCCCCCCTCCCCACGGCGGCGGCGGCGGCGGGGGCGGCTCGTCTCAGACTCTGGGGCCTCGGGGCTGCTCCTTCCTCCGCTCCCGGCGGGTGGCTCCGAGCCGGGGGGGTGCCCCTAAGGGGGCGTCCCCCCTGCCCCCGGCCGGGGCCTAGCTGTCTGGTGGATCCGCCGCGGGAGGAGGGAGTGGGGCGGCCCGGGGCGCGAAGGGCGGCGGCAGAGAGGGCAGCGAGGACCGGCTAGAGCGGCGGGGGGTTTTGAAGCCGCCCCAGCCCCACCCAGGAAGCGCTCGGGGCGGGGGCGGCCCCGGGGGAGGGCAATAGGGGGGGCCTGGCCACCGTCCTCAGCTCGCGTGGGCGGGCTCCGAGGGGGGTCCCTTAAGCCACCCGGGAGGGGGCGGGCACCCCGGCCCCGCCCCAAGCGGGGTGCTGCCTCCTGGTGGCTGACAGCTAGCAAAGCGGATGCGTGTGGCTAGGATGGCTATGCGGGATTGGGGGGCGGGGGGGCGGGTGACGGAGAGAACGAAGACCTGGCGGGGAGGGCTCAGTTGGAGGATAGGGACCCGGAGTACAAGGGATCCGAAGAGGGGACCCAGAATGGAGAGAGTGGGAGACTGGGGCAGAGGGGCCCAGGGGCACAGAGAAGGAAACCCCCCAAGGAGAGGGGTCATAAGGAGGCACCCAGAGTTTAAGGCAAAGATGGGGCACCGGCCAGCTGACAGGTCAGGAGTTCAGGAAGGCACCCACACCTGTCAGAACTGTTCTTTATTTAGCACTTCCATGTGTGAGGCAGCCTCTTCTCCCCAAACCCCAGGGACCCACATACTTGCTGCCCCCATTTCACAGATGGGAAAATGGACTTCGGAGGGAGAGGTACTGGGCTTGCGGTGCTGGCCAGACAGAAGCTGCCCCAGGCCTCGGCTGGGTCGGGTAAGGCAGTCTCCAGAGCCCGCGTTTCTGACCACTGCACCATCCTGCCCCTTACGGGTGCCCAGGGGTGTGGATGGGCCGAGGAGGCAGGTGCCTCAGCATTCCACGCCGTAGCGGTCAAAGTGGCGCAGCAACAGGCCCAGGTCCAGGTGCACGGTGCCACCAGCGGCTGTATGCAGGCGATAGCGGTCGGCCCCACTGTAGATGGCGTCCCCATGCAGCAGCTGAGGCCCACCCCCCACGAAGGCCCGTGCCAGCTGCTCCCGCCAGCTGCCCAAAGGCCGCCATGTGGGACAGTCCAGCTGGTGGGTGCCTGGACTGCTGGGCACGTGACAAAAGCCGTAGCCGGCAAGCTGGCAGCGGCCGAAGCTATCCTGGGACCACACCTGGAAATGAAGTCGGGGCCAGCCTGCAAGACAGGAGAGAGGGATGGTGCAGCCGGTCTCTCTCTGGGCTCAGTCCTCTTCCCTGGCGTCTGCCCAGCCTCCTCTCTGGACTCCCACTCCCACACAACAGCCAAATGGATATTTCTGAATCCATATTCCTCCCCTGCTCAAAACCCTGTCATGGCTCCCCAGTGCCTTCAGAAGAAAACCCAACCTCAACACCCAAGGCCCTTGAGATCAGGCCTCTGCTGATCCCCTCTCTTGTCCATGTTCTGAGCACCTTGAGCCTTGTCCTAGACCTCTCCCCCATTCCCACCCTGTCCTCTCTGGGTTCAGGGACTTCCTGTCCCCTCCAGTTCACCTTCCTCCTGGCATCTGGAAGCATCTTTCTCTTCCCACCGGTCCCCAAGTGTCCTAAGAATACAGCTCAGCTCCTCGGCCTGGCCGGCAAAGCCTTGGAGACCCAGCCTCATTTGACTCTCCTTTCTGAGCCCCTCTGTGGTCGGCCCTGTTCTACAAGCTGGGGACACAGAGGTGAACAGAACAGATCAAAATCCCTGCCCTAGTGTAGCTGACATCCTAGACAACGAGCATAGTAAATAAGCAAATTATAGGGTATGTCAGATGGTGATAACTGCTCTGGAGAAAAATAAAGCTAGGTGGGGTGGGGGTGGGGTGCAGTTTTAGAAAGGGGATGATCAAGAAAGGCTTCACTAAGAAGGGGCCATGAATGTTTAAAGTAGGGAAG